CTTTGGAAAAGCAAAGATGATACCTGAGGGCAGGTGGGGCCCCTGACGGGCGCTAATGGGGGGTTTTCAAGTTTTTCTTGCTTTCCTTAAACTATTAAGAAAGAACAAAAAACACTACTTAGAATAGAATCAATTTCCAAGAAGGGAAGAAAGAAAACTGAGAATTTATTATTAAAGAGAGAAATAGAGCCAAGGTGGAGGGGAAAAAAGGCCCTTCTCACATCTCCTGGCCAGGTGCTCTGTGCATATAAATGTTTCAAGTTGAGCTTTAAGATCAAGGGAGAGTCTGTAGGGAGCCTTGTTTCCTAGAGGTCTGCTGGCTAGAGCTGCTCCGGGATACAGCTGCCCATTTTTATTTCGTTATTAAGGATTAAAGGAGACGAAGTTTCTGGAATGGTAGCTCCTTGGTTTCCATTAACTTTGTACAAGACAGTGAGAAGCAGCCTTCCAAGGGACGGTTTGCATATGGATTTCCGACTACAACCTCGCCTCCTTCCTGTCATCTTGTGAGGCTGTTTAGCACGAAATTGCCCTGCCTCTCATGAGCTCAACCAGGAAGAAAGCTGCCTCGCCGCAAAGATTGAGAATGGCTGTGCCTCTCAGAAACCCTCCTGGTTTTCACAGAGAGTGGAGGAAAGATGAAAAGAATTTCACATTAGGTAGCTGCTCACTCCAGATACTGTGCCTAGCAATTGCCTCCAAAAGCTCCTCACTGCTGCTCAAGTTCCCCGGGCATTCGGCATCTGAATGTATGGCCCCTCTCAGAGCAATGCTGCATATCCACAGTTTTGATTTTTCTTTTTTGGTTGTTTGTTTCATAGCCTTTTATCAAAACTGAAGTGGGACTGAAGTTATTTTCTAACGGTTAGTGACAAATCCACCCGTGGAGATGGGTGGGGTACAGGGTCATCACTGCTCATTTTAGCAGAGAAAGTGCTGGGGAAGAGCCTCACCTTTAACAAAAGATGGCATTGTTGTGATCCCTTGGGGGCTGAGGAAGGAAGATCAGGAGGTCAAGGCCTGCCTGAGCTATGGCGTGAATTCTAAGTCAGCCAGGGGAATTTAGTGAGACCCTCTCTCAAAATTGAAAGTCAATAAACTTTGGAGGTAGCTCAGTAGTGAAGCTTCCCAGCAAGGTCAGGCTCTGGATTTAGTGCCCAGTATCAGGGCAAAAACCAAGAAACCGAGACATAACAAGATGATTTCCTATTTAATCCAAGCAGACCACATGGGAGGCTTAGAGTTTGTACAGATGTGTACTGCCTGTCGTCACCACTTCTAAGTCTCGGCCTCAGAGAAGGACAACAGTCTGAGTTTCAGAAAGCCATGTGGCTTGTCCATGTCGCATGGGCAACTGTTAACTGGGAAGTCTGTGCATTTTAACTTCAGTGCCTGAGATGTGGGGCAGCATCACTGTGGCTTTAATAATTCACATTTCTCTTCAGTTATTCCCAGGTTTCTCAGCAGTGAAGCAGATCATGATACGAACGCAGGAAGACAGTAAGGACACACAGCTCAGAACAGCATCTCTCGCAGTGTATGCTTTCTATTGGAGTTCTTACATGATTAGTACTTAACTTCTTTTATTCTATCACATTTTCACATTCATGATTATTTAGTATCATGGCTATTTAGTTACTATTGCTAATTAATGAGCATAGTTACAGACGCACTCCTTCTTACTGGTTATGCCGATCTTCCGCTAAAATGCATGCTCCTTCCTTACGAGAGAGAGTGATAGCATAGAAATAAATACTGAAAGATATTTTAGCATATGTACAGCCAGCTTTGACCTCCTACGAGGCATATTTGAACCTCCCTTGACTTTGAAGATGTTTAAAAGTTATTTTTAAAATTGTGTGCTTGTGTATGTATATATGTGCATATGGGTTTGCCTGTGTGTGTGTGTGTGTGTGTGTGTGTGTGTGTGTGTGTGTGTGCACATGTGAGTACAGGTGTCACTGGAGTCCAAAACAGGCTGTTAGATGTTCTCCTGGAGCCAGAGTTACAGGTGGTTGTGAGTTGCCTGGTGTAGGTTCTGGGAACCAAACCCGATCCTCTGCAAAGTGTGTATTATGCCCTCTCCGCCCACAACTGCGCCATTTTCCCAGCTCCCTTCTCTGTTTTGGAAATGTTCCCATGTGCTGCCTTTTTCTGGTCTGATATGGGGATCAAAGAATATGGACTTGAGAGCAGCTGTGTGTTCAGATGAATGAATTCCATTTTGCTTAATAGTCCCTGCATCTTAGGGAAAATCATCACATTTTCTGGGCACAGAATTAGAGAATACTGAATGGAGTTTGGTCATGGCATTTCTGAGATCTTTCTCATGCAATTGCCCTACCAACAGTGCCTGACTATGCAGGTCTTTAAGGAGATGAGCAAGGCAGTCCTGTTCACTTCTCCACTGCTCTCATTTGGTTTTGGTGCACTTGGGAACTATTGCTGATCCACGGCATTGCAGCAGTCAGCTAGGAAGAAGAAAGCATTGACCACGAAGAGCTGGGAGCTCACACATGCAGCAACATGTGGAAGGGTATCTGGTGGGCATGCACATCCTTGTTAGGAGGGTCTAGGATGCCAACGGCAAGACTAGTGAAAGCATGCTGTGAAGAAGGCCTTCAGCGGGGCCATCGCCTGCCCCACCACAAAGTGTGGTGGTGTCTTCTGTGGAGATCCCTGGTGCCAGTGGGAACACCTACAACTTGTAAGTTCTAATATTTAGACCAGATTTCCCCCTGATCATTATTATTTATTATTATTGATCTGACTAAGGTTTGGTTGAGCTATTTGGGGAGTAAGCATGAGAAAAGTAATATGAAGAGAATTAGTTTGACAAACAAACCAAGACCATGGCGGTTATAGCTCAGATGATCTGAAGAAACTCAAGCTATGAAAGCCTCCAGCCCATTAATGGACATCACTAAAAAAAAGATCTTAGTTGGTTTTTTAAAATGATATGTGTGTGTGTGTCACATCAGTGGAGGTGCCCAAGAGGCCAGAGAGAGTGTTAGAGCCTTTGCAGCTGGAGTGACAGGTGAAAGGGGTCGTTTACAAGCAGAGCATCTCAGCCACAGAGCCTTCTCCCCAGCAACATGGGTGAATTTTTACATGTCCCCCCAACTCTGAATCTTAGACTCACAGTACTGAATGGCTTAGAAACTCTACCTTAGACCATCCTATGACTCAGAGCCATCAGTACAGACTTCAGTGTTTCTGTTTTATAAAGGTGGCAGATTCATTCCCAAACTGTATTCTAAATAGAATCGTCTTTCTAGTATTTTCTACCTTTATGCTATCAACTCTAAATCAAATCTCCCAAAAATTTAAATCCAGTTGGCAGCCATGTTCAGAATCTTAAACACCCAACCTACCCAGGTTAAGTAGATATTTGGGAAGCTAAGTAGTTCTTAATAAATTCACCAATATTCCAAGTTACCCCTGGTCAGAACCCAGAATAAAGTGGGGAGCCTCCTCTAGCTTCACAATAATCAACTGGGAAAATAATTGTTTAAAATTTATTACGTGTGTGTGCGTGTGTGTGTGTGTGTGTGTGTGTGTGTGTGTGTGTGTGTGTGCATAGGTGTACATGCCACAGTGGAGGGCAGAGACACCACGGGAGTCTGGAGGACTAGTCTCTGGTCATTGGGCTTAGTGGCAGGTGCCATCACTGGCTGAGCCATCTTGCCAGCCAGAGAAAGTAATTTTGATGATTATGACTCACCAGCACATTTTGAGTGCCACTAAAAAAAAAAAAGAAAGAAAGAAAGAAAGGAAACCATCTGGCAGTTGTATCTTACTTCTTTCTCCCATTGGTGGCTGGACCTACACACATTCAGACCTCCCACAAAAATGCCAGTGTCTGCACAATTTTACTATGAACAGACATTTTCAGTCAAAGCAGAGAGAATGAGTCTCTGCCTGTCTGTTGCAATAACATTAATATTATCTCTGTACAGGTGCTGTTAGAAGTATGGAGCTAAATGCAGAGCCCTGGAGATGCCCAGGAGCACACACAAGATAAGCACATCCATTCACGGAAGACCTAAGAAGTTGGGAAGTTGCGGGATGAACTTTTTACCATGACAAAGTAGAGTGATGTTGCCTATTGCAGTGTGAGATTGACAGCAGGAAATAATGACAATCAGCTTAGTGCAGGATGTATTTGTGATGCACAGAGGTGGGAGAGATGTACATGAGGACTTGGTCAGAATAAGTCAGGACAGCATTAACTACCCATGTAAAACTGGCCTTGGGGATATGAAGGCTGAAAGCTGAAGGCTGCAAAGTGATTCTGGCTATCGGTGAGCTACGGAAGAGTAGATGTGAATAAACATTCCTTACCGGCCTTTGACAAGAAAGACTGATAGATTAGTGGGTAGCACTTCAGAGAGCAAAGGAGCAGAGGGTCAGCTTTGGAACCAGCATCATAAACCGAAGAAAGGAGGATGATGAGCATACTGACTTGAGATGGACCTCATGACAGCAAAGTAGAGCTGGATTTACATGTGAAGAGGGACACACACACACACACACACACACACACACACTGGAGCAAGCACGCACCTGCACACAAACACATTCACACACACATGCACTCACACACACATGAACACACATGTGTATGTGTACCTGTACACATATACACACAGACATGCATACATGCACGCACACACAACACATGCATGTGCATATGTACACATTTTCATTTCACTAAGGGCAGCAATGCATCTTCTGTTTACCCCCCCTGCCTCTAGTACAGAGAAAATTTGCAGGCATGAAAAAGGTGAGCCAAGAAGTGAATTAATGAGTCTTGTCCTTGAGTCCACAGGTCAAGGTTTTTGTCCCAGAAGGATACTTGGTACTTTATCACTAGGGATAAAACTGAACACATCCAACCTGGGCCCGAGATCTAAATTCCTGAGCCCATTTGTCCATAGACTCAGCATGCAAGTGGCGCTTACACAGTCATTTGTCCCTGTGTGGATCCGCAGGTGACAGTTTCCTTACTGAAGATGATGGTGCCAGCCTTCGCAGCATCTGAAGTCTGATGTTATGTCCCCATATAGGATATCAACCATGAGCACCTGGTAAAGATTTCACTTTGCAAATTCGGGTCTTGTCTTTTGTAGTTCATACAAATGAAACCAAGACATTATTGTTGCTTAAATCATAGAGTCGAGAGGTCAGAGCCTAGAAATTCAGACAACTGAGGCTGACTCCTCACTTTTCCCAGAGCCAATATTTGTTTACTATGTTTAATAGCTAGATCATTACTTTATTGTATATAAAAACAAGGTTAGCTACACATACGTTTGATGCACATTTACTGATTGGCAGCTTTATGCCAGGAACTGGGGGAATCATGAAGAATGCCCAGGGAGACAGAGCCTCGGCCTTAGAGGAGTTCACAGGTAAAGTAGGGAAATGAGCGAGTAGATAAAAACACAAATGCTTTCACTGAATTGTCATCAGAGTTTAATGGAAATTTAGAGAAACTCTGTTATGAAGAGATGACTGCCTTTGGTAGGTGGGCTCTGGTACATGTGGAGGTCTAAGGTTGATACAGGGAATCTTCCTCAACTGTTCTTCTGCCTTATTCATTGAGGCAGGACCTCTTAATCAAACCTAGAGCTCACTGATAGAGGTATCATACTAATCAGCTTGTTTCAGGGATCCTGGCCTCTACCTTCTAAGGCTGCTATGCCCACCTGGCACTAATGGGATATAGGGGGTCAGAACTCATATCCCCTTGTTTACCCAGGACCTGTTTTAACCATTGAGCCATCTTCTCAGCTTGAGAACTGTTTGTACAGTCTTCCCAGTTCTCTCCAGAAAACAAAGCAAGTGGTGCTCTTGTCTCTTAAGCCTTACACACCATCTGTAACACTGACACACAAGTACACATGTAGGTCCACTCTTATTTTTCAGTTTGTTGAACGCTTTTTCCTATAGAGACCTTGCACATTACTGATTGTGAATCTCATTATCTCCATTTTACGAGTCAGAAAGATGAGCAAGTCATTCCCTGGCTACCAAGTGATGGATCCTGATGCCAAACCTTGGCTGACTTTGGAAGTCAGTTGCTGAATAGGTAAAATCTAATAGCATCATTTCTGTGACTTGCTACTGAAGGTGGGCAATTTCAAACATGCTTCTGCCGAGGATGTAAATGTTCATCTGGCCTACGTACCCATTAGCTAAAGAGCACAAAGGAGTGTTCTTCTGTGCAAGCTCCAGGTTCCATCCTGCCCAGCATCGTGTTGACAACTAAGGCCTGGAGGGATTCACCAGGGAAAGACATAGTTTTCCTCGCTGACATTAACCTTAAAGGTTAGGTGTACTCTGAGTAGCCATTTATGGCTCTGACATTCATAAATTTGGTCAAAACCTTTATGAATCCATTTATATTCCTCGCCTGTACCTCTTTGTGGTAATGAGCTCGATGCGTTTATTATTTTCTGTGTGAAGGCAGACTTCACTTTATTTGTCCTTAACCCAGTTCACTTGGGTTTTGAAGGGTTCTGACCATTTCTGAAAGGGACCGAAAACCACATCGACTGTTTGTGTGTTCGCATTACACACAAGCTCCACATTCTCCAGGTAGAGTTTATTTTGTCTTGAGAAACAATAAATGAAATTGCATGTTATATTTCTGTTGTGCAGAGACCAATATTGTACTTAAAGATCCAGATTCTGTCTCCTGCTCAGTTTTCTCAGCACACTTTTGGTGATGCCAAATAGGCTCCAAGGTCCCCTTAGAATAATCTTGTTTTTGGTTTTCATGATTCACATTTTCATGTTGAAGGCAGTGCCGATCTGGCCCTGCAGAAGCTGGAGGTAAATTTTGTTTCTAATCTATCCCACTTGAAGAGTTAGTATATATTATTGTATATATATTGTGTTATGTCTGTTTTATAGCTGATTATAACCAAGGCAGATATAGAACATCCTAGAGCAACAGAAACACAGACCTAGCTGTGAGAATTCAGTGTGCTAAAACAAGTCTGGACTGAAATGTTTCCGTTCATGAGATTAGAGGTTAAACTACGTATTTTCCTAGTTTTGTAATCCTGTAATATTCTGAGTTCTTTTCCTCGGCTGTTGACTCCAGTATAGTAGGCGCCATCTTCATGAACTGCAGCAGCCTTCCCTCCAGTCCATCACGACTCATTTCTTTTCAGTGCTGTTGGAAGCTCTGGGGTGGATTGCATGCTGCTTTCTTTCATCCAGTACAGGAGCTCAGCAAGCAAAGAAAATATACAATATCCTTCTCCCATGCCCTCACAGAAGTAGTAGGATTATTCCCATGATGGGTTGTTTTAGGCTGGTCCTAATTGGGAGGTCTGATGAGAAGACATCCTCTAGATCCCTTCTCCTTTAGCAGTCAACTTGGTAATAATCCTGGTTAGTTTTGTTTTTTGTTTTGTTTTGGTTTGGTTTTTTGAGACAGGGTTTCTCTGTGTAGTTTTGGTGCCTGTCCTGTAACTCACTCTGTAGACCAGGCTGGCCTCGAACTCACAGAGATCCACCTGGCTCTGCCTCCCGAGGGCTGGGATTAAAGGTGTGTACCACCTCTGCCCAGCTCTGGTTAGTGTTTTATTCAGTAGACATAAGCTAGAGTCATTTGAGAATGGGGAAATTAAGAAAATATCCTCACTCTTTTTGTTTCTATAGAATTAAAATAAAAGTGTAGCAACTTAAGACTGTTTTAGAAAAGGATGAATGACTTCATTTCAGAAGTGACAGACTGTACTTGTGTGTAGAGATAAGCTTAAATCTCCTACAAGAACGCCTGTGCATGCAAGCACTCAGTGGTGTGTGCTCTGAGAAAGCGAGGCCTCTAACGTCTCACTGGGACCTGACTTGCTGCCCCTCCTGCATGATAGCAGTGTCCATGGCTCAAGTTCATGTCGACAGGTGCATTTGGCATGGATCTTGGTGTATCCTGATGAAATTCTGGCTAGAGGACTCTGGGCAGAGGGAATGGGCATCAAAAGCACATCTATTTTTAAAGGAACTTGGCTAAAGTTTGAGGACAACTGTTTCCATTTGAATGTTCTGAGCAGCAAATGATAGAATTACTGTCCACTTGGGTTCTAGAGAAAGTGGCTGTTTTCACACAAGACAGCTGCCCACTGGTGGAAGAAACCTTTCCAGTGACACACGGCCACTGCAGCTCCGGGCACCATGTCCGCGCACACAGCAGAGCCAGGGAAGGGATCACAATGTTAATCTTTTACATCAGGAAAGCAAACACTTTTCCAGAATTCCTCAGGAAACTTCTGCAGAAACAGACAACATTCCCAGGTTAGGAGATGCCAGACAAGTGACTATTCAACCATGCCAGCTTCTGGGGGTGAGGGAAGGGTGGGCAGCAGATGGCTAGCCACCCTACAATGTCGCCACACATTTTTAAACATGACGGCCCCAAACCACCTCTTCAGCTTTTCGAGCACAGTCAGGTGACAATGCTCTCAGGTGCAGCGGTCAGCGGCAAGGCGGAGCTTCCCCCTCCAGCCATTGTTTGAAGGAGAAAGAACTTCTCCCTTCTGTTTTGTCAGTTATTATTATTATTGTTGTTGTTGTTGTTGTGTGTGTGTTTGTGGATACAGACTTGCTTTTCCTTGATTTGTTCTGCAAAATGAAGCATCCAAGAGTTGCCTTAGTTAGGTTAAAAAAAAAGTCTGCTAGGTCCACTTGATGCTGGGAAGTCTGAGCCCTCCCCACACTGGGCTGGGCTCACCCTGCTTTACTAGAAGGGCTCCATTTCCCATCTCAGTATTTATAACCTTCTCTTAGAAAAGAAAATGGTTGTACTAGGAAGTCATATTAAGACAGAGAATTCAGGCAGCCTCAGTAGTAAAAAGATAAAGACATAATTTAAACTCATTTGGTTGAAAAGATAAATGCAGATAAAAGCTTGTGAACAGGAGCCAAATGCCTTGGCTCAGGAAGCTCACAGACAATGGACTTGGCCATTGGCCACACAGCCATCACCGTCTGCTGAGGGCCTGTTCCTGAGCAGAGTGAGTGCCCACGGAGGGTCTCTACCCTCATGCTGGAAGTCCTAAAGAGCCACGGGAAAGGTCTCCTGGAGGGAAGACTGCTGGACAGGAAGGGCTGGACAGTAGAGACAGAGGAGCCTGCAGGAAGGAGCCTCCAGTTTTCAAGAACTGTTCAGTCAAAAGTAGCCCCAGGCCGAAGTGCTCAGTGACATTTTTTCAAATCCGTCCTTTGCTTTTAAAAAGATAGCCTAGAAAACATGGGTTTTAACGAGTGGATGTCTTTATTTAGAAATACCTACAAGACACTATTGGCATTGCTTGGGTTCTTGGTCGCATTTTGCTGGAACAGTGTCATGCACGCGGTGGCTCAGATCAATTCATTAGCCGTTGGCTGAGTATGTTGTGGAGCAGACTCTGTGCTGGTTTCTGAGTTAATAAGATGAAAAAAAGCAAGGCTCAGCTCTAGAGTGGCTTATACTATGACTAGAGGCACTTTGTCCCTCAGGGGACACTAGAAATGTCTAGTGCAGTTTTAGTTGTCACAACTTTGAGGGGGTTACTTAAATCTAGTGGGCAGAGACCAGAGATGCTTCTAAGGACAGTGCCAACAGATAATAAGTAATTGGTCCACAATCTGAGTAGCGTTGACATTGAGAGAACCTGTGCTACAGTGAAGACACATTGTGGAAAATCATATGTATGTATATATACTCTGTGTGTGTGTGTGTGTGTGTGTGTGTGTGTGTGTGTGTGTGTGTGTAAAAACAGGATGGGCAGAGAGCTTAACCAATAAAGTGCTTGTTACACAAACATGATGGTATGAGTTGAATCCCCAGTACTGACATAAAAAGCCAAGCCTGGTGGCACATGCTAATCATTCTAGCATTTGGGCTTCCTGGCCAGCTAGTTTGCAAAATCAGTGAGCCCCAGGCAAACAATGGACTCTGTTCAAGAAACCAAGTAGACAACACCCAAGGGAGGACTCCTGAGGTTAACCCTTAGCCTCTACACACAATCAAATGAATACACATGTGCCTTCATACATATGTGTACCTGGACACACAGGAATACACACACACATTTAGGAGGAGAGAAAGAGGGAGAGGATGAAGAAGGAGGAGGAGAAGGGGGAAGAGGAAGAGGAGACAGGAGAGGAGGAGGAAGAAGAAGAAGAGGACAGCATGGCTGAAGGGTGTAGAAGGTAAAGAGTGTCCTAAGCACAGGGCTTGTTAATTCCATCGAAAGGAGCCTGTGAAAAGGGAAGCGATAGCAGGTGTTCAGTGGGATTTGAAGACCGATTATGAGCTAGACACAGGATTGGGGTGTATTCCACTTAAGCAAGAGAAGAGGAGCCTGTAGGCAGAGCATATGGAAAAGTTCAGGAATATTTCAGGTGAGAGGGAGTGAGGGTTGAGTCATGAAGCTGGAGAGATAAGCCAGATTATATTATTAATGACCCAGGGATCAACCTAATGAGTTTGAACTCATTTCTATAGTTGATAGAAAACAACTGAACATGGTGTTACCAAAATACTACATAAAAGTTTTCATATAGGCAGAAAAAACATTTCTGTACCCATGCTTAACACATACACCTATGACAAAATGGGAATATGTCTCCTCTTCAAGGAACTCTCCACTTCACTATACATCAACTGGGTGACACACCATTTAATTGAATTCTAACACAACAGCATTAGATGCCAGTTCAACAACCAGTTACACAGAAAGCCAGATAACAATAGACAGCAGGCTCTCAAATTATCCACAACTCCTGTCCAATTTGGCTACAAATTGGTGATCCCATGACCATCTTGAGTTTGACAATTTGCTAGAGCTGCTTATGGTACCCAGGAAAACAGCTCCTTGCTTGGCACTGGTTTATGATGAAGGATGTCTCACAGGAAGTGGGGGAGCAACCAGAGGCATAAGTGCATGGGGTGAGATTAGGAAGGGTTTCTTTGGGGCGTTTTGAGGGTGGCCCATACTCATAGCATGTGGATATCCTAGTCCTAACTGGAAGCCCTCTGAACTCTGTTTTTCTCTGGAGGCTTTAGGACATAGTAAGATTGCTAGCGTCACTGGCCATCAGTGACTAGCTGGACTTGCACACTCTACCTGTACTCTAGAAGAGTGAAGGGTGGTGATAGCATCACAATTACAACTTTATCATCATCAACTCTTATCCTAAGTTTGTTCACAAGCCTTGCTACGGATTATGCAGCATACAAAGAGACATGGGACTTGGTTTTAGGAGCTGTGTGTCAGCAAATGGGAACAGAGAAAAAAATATTTCTTCTTGTTCACATATAAATCATTGTTATGTTCTGAAATAAGTACAAGTAGAATCCATGGCCTAACCATAGGATTCTATGATCTCTCTTTTCCTTCTGTGTCCTCAGTCTCATCCTCATACAAGCACAAGAATATAAGTGCAAGTATACTTTGGGGGCAGGGGGACACCACTAAGTGTCAAATTTTCCATGAATACTTTGGATGCCAGAAGTAAAAAGTGCTGAGAGAAGGTTGGTTGAAGATATCCCAGAGTTTGGAATAATGAGCAAGTGCTCTACTAATGAGCTCTGCCACCCAAAGTCCACAAGAATGTCTTTGGTGACAGATCACAGAATCTTCTAAAATTTTGTAGTCCATCTTTACTGAAGGGAAGTGGTTTATGAGCAGTTATGAGGAGTCATCATCAACTTGAGGAAGTAAAACCCCAAACATTCTAATCATCCAGGAGAATGTGAGCTTGGAGTGCTTAGAGATTTATGTAAATCTAAAACAAGAGAGAAAAATGTGGTAGCAAGGAGACTGTGAGGAAAATGGTGGCTAAGAGGCTGGCTGCACAGTGGGGTGTTGGGATGGAAATGCTCAGGTGTAAAGTGGATCCAGGTGACACAAGGTCTCTTGATTCATAAGTAAATGAAACAGAGGGCAGCTGGTGGTCAGTGAATTTGAAGAGAGCCATGAATGAGTCTGGAGGGTTGGAGGCTTATTCATGTGGCCACTGAGAATGCATGAGGTGAATGACTGGACTTGGAGGTAAGACAAAAGTGTGAAACTGGTGTAAAATTTGTCCATTAGTTTGATGGGATGTCCAGGGGCTACAGGGTCAAGGATGGTAGAAGATGTCTGATTGGTTCGCTTCCTGAGTAAGAACACACTGAGAGAGTGACTCCTTAGAAATGAAAATGTAGAGGATGGCAGGTCATTATGTGGAGCCAGGAACCATGTTGTTAAGATAGTGCTGGGAGTGGAGAGAGATCATTTCATGAAGAAAAGAAGATGTGGAAGAGTTTCCTAAATACAGAATGGGGACTCCAGGAGTTCTTGACTGGAGCTTTTCAGTCCCACCTGGTCCTGCCTGTGCATTAGCCGTTTTTTTTTAGAAAACAATCATTCAGAAGCTTACTATTAATTATAAACTATTTGGTCTATGGCTCAGGCTTATCATTAACTAGCTCCTGTAACTTAAATTAACCCATTTATATTCATCTATGTTTTGCCACGTGGCTTTATGATGTTACTTGTGTTCCATTACATCTTGCTCCTGTGGCAGCACTCAGCATCTTCTCTGATTCTGCCTTCTCCTTGTCTGTCTTTCCATGGATTCTCCACTTGGCTCTATTCTGCCTTGCCATAGACCATAGCAGCTTCCTTATTAACCAATGGTAGCAACACATATGGACACATACAGAAAGATCATCCCACAGCACTTCCCCTTTTCTGTCTAAATCTAAAAAGAAGGTATATTTTAATATAGTACCATTACATGTAACAAAAGTGTTATCAAGCAAGAATTATAGTTATAATATCTAGTCTATTTGTATTTGGCAAAGTTAAAGAAAGTGTTCTATCATCTATCCTATTTTTGTGAGTCTAAAGTTTCATATCTAATTTACCTTTTATCATGATTAAGGAAAATTATAACTATCTAGTCTTCAACTCCATCAAAGACCCCAGAAGGATATAATATTATCTAAGTAAAGAGGAAGTGCATTGTAAGCAATTTCCAAAATTCTAGAAATGACAGAGACATCTGGCTGCCTGAACAGTCACCCAAAGTTCCTCTGTAATGTTGGGGCATCCATTTTCAGCCTATAGTCCTACAGTCTCTGGCAAACTTTTTAGTGAAGCAGGAAACTTGAAGGATTGTCTCTCCTATTGGCAAAGTTCGTCAGTCATTTTCCTCTGTGTCCTGCAGAATGCTTGGCAGTTTCTTTCGTGAAGCAGCAACCTGAAGGATCATCTGCCTTGTTTTGTCAAAGTTCAGTGGTCATTTTCCTATGAGTCCTGTATGCCTAGTTTATACAACATACTGTCAAACAGTCCAGGCAAAAGCAGTTTCTTGTCCAAATGGCTAGTCTTTTTTATACTGTAAGCAAACTCCAGAATGAGTTTTTTTATGCTCATCATCCTCTTTGAAGCAATTGGTGCTTCCAGGAGCTGATGTATCTCATTGCCAAGAAAAGTCTAAGTTCTTAAAACATTTTAAATGCCATATTCTGTAGGTCTTTGAAGTGTTTAAAGATTACCTATCTATCTGAAATATATCTCTGAATATCTAGAAAACCTAATTAACATGATTATAAGTTTGACTATTATAAATGACTATTAATTTGTATTTTTTAATTATATATTATATTTTTAAATGAGCTGCATAACCATAATGCCCTAAAGAAGAGTAGAAATGTACATATGGTCTAACAAAATTGACCCTAAATTTGTATTAATAAACCAAAATCCATACCAATCTAAAGTATTTTGAGATTAACAATTGTTTTTTGGATTAAAGTAGATTCAATAATCTATTTTTTAAATCATTTCTATATCATACCCCCTTTTTTGTTTAGAAAGAGATTGAATATATAGCCAACCCTCTTTAAATAAAAACAAACATTTATAAACAATATCTTGGGAATTTGGGCATAGCTTTTCATACTTCTTCCTGCTGATTGGGGGCTGATTGGGGCATAGCTTTTCATACTTCTTCCTGCTGATTATGGGAATTCTGAGAAAATTTAGAATTATGGTCAAGTCTTGACTGTAGTATTCTGTGAGGTTGCATCATCTCCAGTTACCTTGAAGCTGTTCTGATTGTTGGATCATCTAGGCCATAGATCCCATTAGAGACCTCTCAGGTGGTCTTCCTTGATCAAACCATATTAACCTGGAAGGAATCCACAGCTTTTCATCTGTGAAAACAAAAACAGAAACTCTTTTCCAAAGCAGCACATCCTTAGACCCAAATTTTGAAGTCAATCAAGCTATCTTTAAAATATGTATGTTGGTTTAACTTAGCAGCCTTTACAATCAAATGTCTTTCTGCAGTTAGCTCAGTAACAGTCAAAATTTTCAAAGAAAACACAATAATATACACAATCCAGACTCTCTGTGTATTTTCCATCTTTACTTGGCTTCTTTTATATTAATTTTGCTGTCTCTTTAAAGACTTTATTTTTTAAAACTATTTATTTCTTTATATAACTGCCTATTGTCCTTTTCCTCTCTCTTCCAAGCCTATGTACATTTTTATACATATTGTGAACTGTCTAGAAGTTTTTTTTTCCATCTGAAACTGTCCTTACTGTGTATCTGTAATCATTTTCTGACCAGGAGAAATTTAAACTGTTAAATTGCCCAGCTGGGACAAAAGTGTGGCTTTGGTGGCTGGCTCTGCCCCACTCAGCTTTCCAACATGGCGCAGGTGCCAGCAGTCACACTTACCTCCCTAATTCTTGGAAGCAATATTAAGTAGTGTGCACTCATGTTTTTAAGTCTGAGGCTGTGCTCTCAAGCCCATAAGCAGAAGTGGGAGAAGCCTCTTTGTACTATGGCCTGTGGGAGAGACTGCGGGAGCCCGTCATGCCACTTAGCTCATGGCAGCTGGTGGCCAGTTCCATCTTGAAGGAAGCTGTTGAGAGACAGGTCTCTGTGCTGCTGCTGGCGGGAGACTGTGAGACCAAGAAGCCCAGTGCAGCTCCATGTCTGTGTTTCAGAATCTTTTTAAAGCTTTTTTTCAGGTCTATGTGGATTAATGCCCAATGGTGGGCACCAAGTGAGACTGAAGTTTCTCAGTTCCACCTGGTTACACCCTTTTGGCTCAATGGTTAAGAGCACTGACTGATGTTCCAAAGGACCCTGGTTCAATTCCCAGCACCCCCACAAATGCACAGTGACCCTGCCTCCTCCAGGTGTATAACCCAAGATCATGGATGGAGCAAATACCACTACAAGGAGTCATTGTTAAAATATTTGTTTTCTTTTTTAATAGGATGGGAGCAAGAGATAGAATTTCATTTGCTATGGTTGACATAGTTCACCAACAGTATGGCTTAAACAACATAAGTGTGTTTTTTGAGAACTGGTCACTTCTGATATGTGAAGATCATGCCAAATCTCTGGAAATCTTTGGCTTTCTTCAGCCTGTAGAGGTAACATTCTTATCTCCCCTCCACATAAATTTTTATGAAGATGCTGCCCATACTGAATTGAAAGCACTCTACCCAGACATAAAATAATTATAATCAATTACATTAGCATTAGTGCTATTTACAAATAAGGTAACGCACCAAAGCACTGTGAATTAGGACCTCGACACCTTTTCTAATGGGGGAATAATCCAATCCATAGTATGGAGTAGAAGTGTTATAATGGACCAAAAAACAGGAAAGTGAGTTCAAGAGTCCATCTTCTGCCAGTGGAGATGATGTTGGCTACTGGTTACTGAAGAACGACAGTATATACACTCAGGGAATGTGTTGGCCAACACAGGTCATGTACAGGGAAGGCAACAGTATGAGTGGACGAGGGGTGCCTATGTTTGGGCATGAGGCTTGTCACTGCCCAACTCCAAGGTCATGCTTCGTAGAAACAGTGGGCATGATGCCTTTGTTGGCTGAACCACACTGTGTGGCTCTTAGAGCATGGAGAGGAAGTTTGCAGTGCACTCTGGGCTCTTCTAAACTGGGAATCTTAATGTCTATAATGGAGCACACCCTTAAGAAAGGCTTTTGTGAGGCTGCCCTCACTAAGCTAAACCCCAGAGAAAAGCAGCCAGATATTCTTTACACACGTCTCCTAGTACTTAAACTTCTGATGCAAAGTACTCAGTGAATACACAAACAGCCACTACCTAGTGGTAATAATGTGGTTACTTGGTTAACGGTAAATTCATAGGGAAATGATGGAATTGGGATGAACAGGTGCTCAGAGAATAGCACAAGATGTTTGAGGATATGGAAGAAGTTCTGAAGGAGGCAGTGTTCGGTAATCCATTGCTTTTCTTCCCTGGGTCAATACCCAGAAGCATTTTATGTTGTGTGTGTGCATGCATGTGTATGTGCATACACACAACACACACACACACACACACACACACACACACACACACACACACACACCAGAGTGTCACTTCCAGGCTGGCCTGAAAGGCTCCATGTAGACCAGGCTAGCCTCAACTCCACAGAGGCTCACCCTCTTCAGCCTCCTGAGTGCTGTCACTAACAGTGTGGGCCACCACACCTGGACACTTGAGTATTTCAAAGTTGTGAGGTGTTAGATTTGGATATGGGATTTTTTTTCTTCCTTCTTATATTTTCAATTTTATAACATCTTTGTTTTGTTGTGCAAAAACAATGACTTTCCATCATTATATGAAGAGAAGGATCGAAATGCTTATAATAACAGACTGTGGTAGTTGAATGATGTGACAGATATTATAACATTAATTCTCAAAGGCAAAAAATATTCAGCTGAGAAATGAGAGGGAAATTTGAGCTCCCTGAAAACAGCAAACTCACATGAGACTGACTTGATTTCCATTATTGTCCTGTGTAACAAGCAGGAGGGAACGAGGTGCTTGGATGACCTGTAGGACTGGGCAAAATAAAAAGTTGTTCACAATGAAAGACTTTCAAGATGCCAACAATGGGACATTAAAGCAAGCTCAGCACCCTTCCTGACAAGGTACCAAGCAGGCTCACCAATATAGCTAGCCCTGCCTGCTAGCCACATGGCTGCTGGATGATAGCAAAAAGGTTTGATGGGCACAATTCTCAAAGTGTTGGAAACAATGTAAAGGTTTCCAGGCCATTGAGCTTTTGGTTAGTGTCGTGTTAGCTGTGAAGAGAAACAATGCCACCTCAATTTGCCGAGTGATGCCTCTTGTTCTAATTCCTCCACAGTCACGTGGGGTGAAACCCTTGGTCCTAGTCTTGCAAAGGATGACGCACTCACTTTAGCGGACTGTTTTGAGGCCTCTCTCTCCGGAGTTTCACCTGCCCATGCCATGAGGTCTCCTCTCTTCCTCTCTGGAGTCTGCAATTATACTTTGGCTCTGACTTGTCTGGTCATGCCTGTTTGGAAGGAGTCTGGTGGGAGATCCACCTCAACTCCCCTCCCCATCTCTTTCCCTGAACCCGCCCCTTCAAAGCCCGCTCAAACACAGCTCCTCCCCCAGAGAGGCTCAAGACCACTCCCACAGGGTATAGAAGCTGCATCCCCGAAAAAAGACACGTGGTTCTTCCGGTCTTGTGTCCTATCTCCTCTCTGTGGACCAGGCAATTGCCTGGAAGTGCTTTACCCATTAAAGCTGGGTTTTCCAATTCAGTCTGATTCTGTTTGCTGCATCGGCGGAGAGACCTTCAGGAGGGCTAAAACGTATCAAGGCCTACATGACCACATCCTTATTCCTGAGTGGAGCCACACTGTGTTCAGTACCCACGTGACTGTTGTTCTTGTAGATCGCTGTACTGTGCCTCTGTATCCTGTATTCCCTATTCAACCTTCTTGATTTGAGGTTTGCTTTGCAGGGGCACTCATTCATAAAGTGACACTGAACTTCACACCGCTCATCGCCTCTGAAGAAAAGTTGATGGAATTTGACAGTTGTCTCAGGATTTTTTACTTACGGATGTATCTCCCAGCTTGCTTGGAGGTTAGTCATGTAGCCAATGGTTATAGTACCTCACCATTAACATAGATGGGGAACTGTCTTAAAGTGGTTGATAGTGCTACTTGTGAATGAGCTTTTGGGGGTTGGCTCCTTGTCTTCAGACGTTTTTGTTACAAATAGCAGGATAGAAACATTTCATGGATTCCTTAGAATTTGATGGCCACACATATATGATCTTCAAGATCGTGTGCGTGTGTGCGTGTGTGCGTGTGTGCGTGTGTGTGTGTGTGTGTGTGTGTGTGTGTGTGTGTAGCTATATGGTTAACATAGAATGTCAACCTTTGCTCTAATAGATACAAAATTAAATAAAAATGACAATGAATGAATGAGTAAGAAGGTTTTTAGGTTTTTACCCCTAAGACACAATGATGTTTGTTGCCTACTTGACAGGATTGAATATGGAATCGCCAAAGAGACCACCAGCCTCTGGGCACATCTGTGAGGGATTATCTAGTCATGTTAATAAGTGGAAGCCTCACCTCAACCATTGGTAGGACCATTCCCTGGCCTAGTGTTCTAGACTGATAAAAAGGAGAAAGGTGACTGACAGGAGCGTCCTTGCTCTCTTCCTCCTGACTGGGCACAGTGTGACCACTGCACCAAGTGCTCACTGTCTTGATTTCCCCGCCTCTGTCGGTCGACGGTGAGTCAGTCAACCTTTGTTCTCCAGTTGTTTTTGTCAGGGTGTTTTATGTCAGCCACAGGAAAACTGTCTCATACACATGTGACCTTTGGTTTCTTGTGCTTTTCTCCATCAACAGACACCAATCAAAAGCCAGGTTGGTTTAGCTGCTCACCTGTCAGACCAACTTGGACGCCTCGGTCTGAAACGAGGACTTCCCATTTTTCTCGTACTTTGAATTAGAGTTCTGGGTAGTGGCTGTAGGATGCTAGGACATTATTTTTTTTTTCTGGAATGAAAATGATCCCTATAGTTTATAAATCAAGGAAACTCAATTCTATGGGAACCATGGTTTCTAGTGAAATTCTGTATTCTATAGGATAATTCTTAGCTTCACTGATGATTACAAATTGTCTATGTTAAAAGCATTTCATAACTTGCTTTCTTTTCCTGTATTATTGGGCTTAATTAAACATCATAAGGTTCATCTAATTGTGCTTATATTATTTTAAAATTTTAAGTGGAGATTTTAGGTTTCTTCATAGAAATCACCATGCCAGTTCATCCACGTTTGCTTGGACAAGTTATTTCCTCCATGCTGTCTGTAACCCTCTGATCCCAGCTGTCACTTGTGACAAATTAGGGCTTCCAGACCCAGAAATGCAGATCCCATAGGTCACATGTCCCAGAAATGGAAAATGTGATTTCTCCCAAGGGCCAGATATACAGACCATTATATCATCTCACACTCTGAGAGAGCCCCGCCCCCCCAAAGGCTTGTTGAGCATCCTTTGATTGTGCAGCATCTTTAGCTCTGACCTCCAAACAGGGTCACTGTTGTAGCAGCCGACAGAAAGCTTTCAGGAGTGAATGAGTGCTTAGCGAAATCAGGTAGCATGCTCGGTGCAGCATGGTGATTGTTCCTGACACCGCTGAAAGAGGGACTTCTTCAGCAGACCATTGATTTCAGTGTCAGGCAGATGAAAAGTAGCATATTGATGAGCATTTGTCATTACTTTGCCAAAGGTGTCTTGTCAGATAAAAGACCAGTAGAGGAAGCCAACTTAAGGCAGCCCATCACATCAATTTTCTTGCTGCTGAAGGGAAGAGAATGAACTGTGATATTTGAACTAATCGATGCCTATAAAGGTACTCTTAAACTCTTACAATAAATTGTTTTGATTTGCAAAAAAAAAAAAATCATGCTACAAAAACGAAAAAGGAAAATAGGCCACTAAAGTTGAAGTAAAAGCTTGTCATTCATGGAGACACTGTATTTACAAACAAGAGTGTTCCATGTTTCCTTATTCTAAAGGTTTTTCTGTGTAGCCTGGAAACACACAGTGCTCTGTACAGTAATGTATGACTTTCTGATATTGACCCCTAACTCTTACAGTGGAAAACAAACCCAACATGTATTCTGCATTCCAAAATCAGCAAGAGCTTCATGTTGGGGTACCGGTTACCTCCGAAGGGACTTCAGCAGAAGTGCTAGCTGAACAAAATGAAATGTGGGAAGTTTCCAGCCTCCTTTGTCCTTCTGAGAGCTCATCCACCCTTTGTGTAAAGAAGACTGGAAAGGGGCCAGGAGGCAGCTAAGGAAAATGAAAATTTCCACACTCAAAACTCACAATCTTAGATTTTTCAAATGACTCATGTCATTATTTTTTCCTCATAAATGTTTTGACTAATCACAGGCTTATCTTTAGTACAACAATGGGAAGATTCGCTGTCCATTTTTCACAAAAGGGAATTCTAAAGTCACTTCAGCAGCAGTGTGAGGCCATTTTATCAGGAGAGAGGTAGGATTGGGGTGTCCTAGTTCA